TATGGATGTTGTTGATATTGACTGGCAAAATCACCATGTCGGATAGGTAGGTTATCATTTGCCACAAATCTGGTTCCCTGAATTCATCCCTAAATGAAATCCACATTGTGGATAATTATTCAATTAACGTCTAGACTGGTGATCAAATAAGAATTTTAATTTAGGGATTTTTTTCCATATAGTACGTGCAAGGTTATAACGTAATTCAATATCGTCTTACTTCAACCGTGCTAGAAAACGTGACTTATGAAAACCAGGTACTTCAACGAAGATTTTTCTATCTGTGAAACTACTCTGGTCACTAGAATTGTGTTATATTCAGTTTCTGTACTCGCTTGCATATTACATTTAAATTCATTTTTCTTCTCCTGTTTTTAGTAGAGAATGAGTACAACATAATTCTGGAGACCAGAATAGATCTACAGACAGAAGAGTTTTTGTTAAAGTACTATGAAGACTAGGTACTTCAGCGAAGATGTTTCTGTCTGTAAAACTATTCTGGTCACCAGAATTATGTTGTACCCATTCTCTGTATTTGCTTCCGAATACATTTAAATTTAATTTTTTTCTTATTTTTAACAGAGAATGAGCACAACACAATTCTGGTGACCAGAATAGTTTCACAGATAGAAAAATCTTCGCTGAAGTACCTGGTTTTCATAAGTCAAGTTTTCTAGCACGGCTGAAGTAAGACGATATTGAATTACGTTATGACTTGCACGTACTATATGAAAAAAAAAATCCCTAAATTAAAATTCCTATTTGGTCATCAGTCTAGACGTTAATTGAATCATTATCCACAATGTGGATTTCATTTAGGGATGAATTCAGGGAACCAGATTTGTGGCAAATGATAACCTACCTATCCGACATGGTGATTTTGCCAGTCAATATCAACAACATCCATATACAAATAAATTTTTTCATCATTGAAGATCTGTATATTGAGTTGTTGTTCGATTCCGACTTGTGTAATAAACATTGCATTACTATATGTTGTTGGGAAAAATACTTGACAATAACAACAAAAGATCAACAAACAAAAGTGAATTTCTTACAAAATACGAATGAATAGTAAGCACTCAATATCATAATTACTTAGGGCATACCAAACAATAGTGACAGTAATACTTTAATATTGTATAGTAAGCTTTAACGGACTTTCTTTCTATATATTCTGATAGAGAAAATAATGCTCTTTTTTTCTATACTATTTCATCATACTTAAACGAATATCATAATAAAGAAATTTCGATAAGATTTGTTTCTCTATGATATTTGGGATCACGTTCACTTGCCCGACACCATTTCGTCGACAAATTGTTTGACCGACAAATATGTGAAGTCAAAAAATTGAAATTTCTTGAAAATATTGCGTCAAAATTTTTTTTCAAATTCAACTACGTAATAGTGTGATTCACTGTTATACTCTTTTCCTTTCCTATCTTTCACTTATAGTATTTTCCAACAGCCTTTTCTCTTTACCTTCTTCTGGGATTTATTCTTCACGTTAATGACTATGTCCAAGTCCTTTTTGGATTTTTCCCACTCATTCACATATAAATAGTGAAAATTTTTCAAAATAAAATCAGACGACGATTTTTTATCAGTTAAAGCAAGTCTCCCGTTAACAAACTGTTACACGTAAGATAAGTTACAATTCAATTATCCCTTCAAGACAAAACAGTGGCAGCACTTCGAGTAATTATGCTAAAGTGATTAAATCTGCAAAAGGCAAGTCCAAAATAAACATTGAAGGGTTTTTGTATAAATATTTGTGACTTTTAATAAAAAGATTTTCTGACGCAATATTTTCAAGAAATTTCAATTTTTTGACTTCAAATATTTATCGGCCAAATGAGTTGTAGGCGAAATGATGTCGGACAAGTGACCCGGAGCCGATATGTGTCTGGTAGTAAGAGTGACTATTTAATGAAGATTTTTTGAATAATTTTTCATTGAAACAAGATAGAGAGCTGCAATTTTCATTCCTTGAAAGAAGAGATAAAGATGCATTGAGATATATATTACAGATTGTTTTTGACATGACTTTTTTAAAGGTTCTCAATAAATATCTTTGAAAACAAACCTACTCGTTCGGTGTTTAAAGTGAATTCTCAAATGTCAAGTCTCTATTGAAATCGCCGATGGAAGAACTATAAAACTGCATGATATTTAGAATTAATCATTCAGAAGTAATAGGCACCATAGTCAAAGTTTTAAGCGATTTTTTTCGAAATTTCTATAAAAGAATTTTTTTTTGTAGCCTTTTTTATAATGTAGCCGTTTTCCCGCCTTTAGAAAATTGATTAAACAAACACGAGATCATATACTAGGAAAACGTATAATACACAATTCGATACATCTTTATCACCTCTTTCGAACGATGAAAATTGCAATTCTCTACCTTGTTTCTATCAAAAATTATTCAACAAGTATTACATCGATAGTCAAGACTTGAATAGTTCGACATCTGTATAAAATATCTTCTGATATTTCTATCTTCCTCCAATCTTGAGTATTTGTGCTGGTATATCGGCGTGACTCGTCATGTACTGCTCAGAAATTATTAGGTCGTCTTCGCGTATATACACTTATTGAAGATCATTGACCTCATATGCTTCAACTTGAACAACAATTACTTCATCATAATTTACTTAATGCAGATCATAATAATATTACTTTTAAAGTACAATCACAATCATCCAGTACAATAACTTTATATTCTAATCGAACGAATACATTCATTTCATCTTCATCAGGAAGTACTAGTAGTCAACCGGAAATAATCGAACCAGTTGAATCAATGGTACAAAAATTACAAAAGAAAATTGATTCTTAAGGCCTCGCCCCCACCCCCCCCGCCCCCCCCCCCCCACCGCACACCCCCCCCCGCCGCGCGCCCCCACGCAGCGACGC